ATATAGCAGCACAATTCACACTTGCAAAGATGTAGAAACAACCCAAATGCCCATCAATATATGAATGGATTAATAAAATGTGGTATATGTATACCATGGAGTTCTACTCAGCCACAAAAAACAATTGTGATCTAGCACCTCTTGTATTATGCTGGATGGAGCTGAGCCCATTCTACTGAGTGAAGTATCACAAGAACGAAAAAACAAGCACCACATGTACTCACCATCAAATTGGTATTAACTGATCAACACTTATGTGCACATTTAGTAGTAACATTCATCAGGTGTTGGGCAGGTGGGAGGGAGGGGAGGGGATGGATATATTCACACATAATGGGTGCGGTGCTCACTGTCTGGTGTATGGACACACTTGAAGCTCTGACTTGAGTGGGACAAAGGCAATATATGTAACTTAAACATTTGTCCCTCGTAATATGTTGAAATTAAAAAAAAATTAAAAAAAAGAAAGGCTCCACAGAGAAGATGAATAAACTGGTGTAGTTTCCCAATGCTGGGAAACTAAACATTTCAAACATTCCTAAGTTTAAACATTTTAAACATTCCTAAGAAACTCTATTTCCATTGCTTAATGTCAATATTCCACAATTATACTGTAGTGATATAGATGCCACAGTACCATTGAACAGTTCCTTTTCTAAATATTTTCCACTGCATTAGACAATGAAGATGGTGACATCCTTTCTCAAAACACTATTTAGTATGTTATTGGATTACACAGAAAGTTGCACACAGAGAATTATCCCGAAATTATTTCAGTCTTCTAGTAGTTTGCAATATAAAATTGTCTAGGAATAAAATTAGGCCAAAAACCTAGAAGACCGTATCTATAGGATGTATATGGTAGAAATGTAATATATTCTATGTCACCAGGAATGTCTTCAAAATGATTTTCCTGATGCTAGGAATCAGGAGAGCCAGCTTGAATCCTGATACTTAGGGTGTATTTGGTGATAAAATTGTGGTCAAGATATATTATTCCTCTGGAAGCATCTTCCTTCTTTATAAAATGGAAGAGGAGAACCAGATGATCTTGAAGTTTCTCCTCAACTCTATCTAAAATGTTACATTTCATGATTTTTAGAGAGTAAAACCATGTATAATTCAATATTATCAGAGTAGAATTTTTTTTCCATCTGATGAGAAAACTCATGGCATAGTTTCAGAGAGGATTGCAAAATGAATCCAACTGTACACAAGGCCCCACACAGCTTGAGAATGGCTCTTTAGGACTGTGCCATGCTCAACCCACATGATTGTGTGGCCTCTATAATTATGTCAATTTAAAAAAAGAAGATGCAATTTCTCTCAACTAAAAATTTTATATAATAATAAGTTAGTTTCCAAATCACTTCCCCCCCCCAGAACCTGGGGTCTTAAGCAAGATAAAAACTATTAAATACAAAGGAATAAACTAAGAAAAACAGATAGAACAGATATCTTAAGTGTGGTAGGTGAAATTGATTGCCTAAGGCTCTGAGTATATGAAAGCAGTATATATTACGAGGCATCAGGTTTTTTTCATAAACTTAGAAGAGATTCTAAAATAGTGGATGAATGTCCCTTTTAGGTAGTTAATTAAATCTAAATTAAAATTTAACTTCAAGTATGGCAAAAGCATAAAGAATCTGCCACTATATGAAAGTACATATATATCTATATGTATATATCTCTCTCTCTCCAGGAAGAATTCAGATATCAGAATATGTATCTCTTTAGTTTAAAGCAATGCATTTAAACCTTAGTGGACCATTTACCTTCCCATGCAATCTATTATTGCACACTTTTGAATACTTTTTGAAATTAGGCAAGAAAGATGAACATTCAATTTCCAAAACTTACAAAACCAAAAAGCAACTGAAAGTGTATGCTCATTTGATAACAGGGGTCAGAGATAAACTGCATATTGTAGAAATTTTAATTATTCTATTTCTTATGTGGAATAACTGGTATAAAATGGTGGAAATGCCTTCTGCCTTCAACATCCATATGAAATTAAGTAATAGAAAAAACGTGGGTGTCTTGTCTTTCTGTAACTATTGCTCCAGTACTACAATTAATCCAGGCCATACCATTATCCTGCTGTTTGCTAGTCCACCATACAATGTGTGAAAGTTATTTCATCTTGAGTGGTGCAATTCAGCAGGATGGACTTAACCTAATTTGAGTCCTTCTCTTCACTACATGATTGATTAAGGTGAATAATGGCTGATGTAGACGTGTAGGAAATAGCGGATCTCATTGATTTTATTCCCCATGAAGCTATAGAGGGAACAAAGAGAGTGGTTTTTAAAAAAAGGCAGTCTGGCATTTAGGATGTGATTTTCTAAGGCAACTCTTTCTTCTCATCTTTCATTATATTAAAGAAATACTTAAAATTGCCTCAATCATAATCCTCTGCACAAACTCACTGGGACTGGGATTTAAACAATCAGGGAAAAATAATACATGAAAGGAGCAAGGAAAGGAAGTCATCCAGAACAATACATTAAAAAAAAAACCCAAAAGATGAACCAAACGCATAAGCTTCTAGCAGAGGGGGTGCAAAGAGAGGAAGAAAAGGTGGTAAGAATGAAAATAGACTAAAGATGGAGAAGCATACTGAAAGTAGGGATTAGTACAAAAAATGCGAAAGATTGAAGCAGGAAGAGAGTAATGGACAAGAGTGAAGCCTGACAAAAAATGGCAAAATGTAGAACAGGAGCAGCGGAACAAAATAGAAAACAGAAGAGGACAGCAAGCAAGGAAAACAAAGAAGTAGTATTAAATGGAAAGGGAGCAAGTGTCTGAATTATAAAGTGTGTGTGTGTGTGTGTGTGTGTGTGTGTGTGTGTGTGTGTGTGTGTGTGTTTGAGAAGGGAAGGGCAACATTAGGGGCCAGGGAGAGTCCTGTGTGACAGCACAGCAGAGAGCTGCCAAGCCCAACCATCTTGCTTTGTCTTTTGCAAGTGAAGTTTATGCCACTCTACTGGAGCTTGCAAATAGATGTGAATTGTTATACTGGTGTTCAAAGTCCTGCCATAATGTTGTTAGGAATTTGGCAGATTAGTGTTAGCCTTAACTAAGGCACCAACTTTCCTTCACATTAAACCAAAGCAGCTAAATTTACATGCTTCTGCAGTTTGCAAGCTTTTTTCACATGGCATAAACTGGAATTAGGTGTGCTAGGAAAATTCTGGGCATTTAGAATAAGGAAGAAAGAAAGAAGAAAGGGAATCTGTTTTTATTTTTAAAAGATCTTATACTAAAACTATCTTATTGTTTCAGTTTGTAGTATTTTTTTTAAATCGAATCTACTTAAATTTAGGCAGTTTCATGGAATTCCAAAAAATTTTCAAATATGAAAATGCAAATTGCTCTTACAAGGACCAAATTGCTAAAATAAAATAAACCATCAAATCACCAGCAAAAAGGGCCCTTGTCTAACTTTGGAAATTGCTTTTTGGAAGAAAAAAATTCTGCTTAAAGTTGCTTCTAATGATACCAAGTATGACTTGTTACTTAGCAGGTCAAAAAAATCAGAAGTAGTTTCTTAGCTTTGAGCTAGAACTTGAAACATAGATATATCTTCTGTTTTTCTGTCTCCTCCATTTCCTTCTTAATAGTCTTTTGAGTAAATTATCCACTGAGTGAAGTTTTATATCTTCAAGTTCAACTCTCGTTAGGTGTTCAGTTTTGTTTCTCCATGGGAACAAACACATTGCCATGGAAACTGGGTAGCATAAAATATAGACAGTGCAAAGGTTTATAGAAAGAATCAAGCTCATAACACAATGTTAACTACATAATTAGTACTAGCTGGATATTCCACTACCTAGCATATTATGGCATCTCCAAATGAATAACTTGCTTTGTGCCTTATCAAATTTTGGAACAATAAAACAAAAGGAAACTATATTATTTTCTCAGTAAAGAAAATGCAAAGCCTTGTTTTTCATCAAAACAAATTTAGAAATCACAAAACAAATTAATTGTGGTGATTATTTACATTGATTAAAAAAATGATACATTAAAGATTTCCTTCATGTATTGAGTGCATTTTGTACACTGACATTATCTTACATACCATATCTGCTTTCAGATATGCTGGGCCTTAAGTCAGGGAAAGAGAAATAAGAGGGGAAAAGCAGGTTGAGATTAAAGGTCCAAAAGTGGGGTGAGTCACCAGCATTACAAATCATAATATCCCCTGGGAGTGGAACTGGATTTCTGGGCCAGGAATGACTTAGGGCTGGGAATCTGGTGGGGAAGATATGATAATAGTAATTCCAAGCAGTCCTGGGGTTTTACCTCCATGCAAGGGAAGGAAAGAGCTGAGCCAGCATCTAGGAAACAGGGTGTGAAATTCAAGGCCAGATACTTGTCAGGGATAGAGTTCCTGTTCAACAGGTGGTGGTTGAGCTTAGGGCACCAGTCGCAGTATCACAAGTAGAGGATGTCGGCAATGATAGTCATCCAAAAGTGAGGTTCAGGCAACATTTTTGTGTGGGAAAGTGGCTACAGCTTGCTGGACACTCCAAAGGACACTCCAGATACTGGGCCGAGGAAGACATGGGTATTTCCAGACTCTGATTAATGATTGTGGCTAGAGCTCTTAATATATTGTTGCATTAGGAGTGACTCTGAGCATGGATGATGCTGGCACACACAGCAATGGAAAACAAAAAGGGGACTTGATTTGCCAAAAATCTACCCACAATAAGAATTCTGCATTTATTGTTTAAAAGTTGGCACAATTGGACATAGAAAGAAGCATTTGCAATTCAGTGGCAAAGGAAGAATGCTCATGCGGGCCCCACATTTGATTTTACATTCTTAATAGTATGCTATCCTAGCAATCATTGTGTGCTACCTTTAAGTGAGAACATGTCCAATGTGACACCAACCTCTTTAATAAAAACAATAAATAAACTTCAGTGAAAGCACTAACATTATTAAAGAAAATGTGCCTATCTGCCATCTCCTTATCTTGTGTTTTTCAGTCCTGCAGTGGCTGTTTGGCAGAAGCTGAAAGCTACTACTGCAGGGAACCAATTTGAACTGAAGTTCATGAAGTCTGAGATCAACGGACTGGCAACTCTTCGGGCTTCAGAAATAATGTGGTCATGCTGTGTGTGTCTCATTGCACTTCTGGGTTACGGTTCACTTAATTCTATGGGATAAAATAGGCCTCTGTTTAAAATAGCATTTTCACCTGCAAGTTAGAAACAAATAAAACAAAACTAATTTTGAAGTAAAAACCCTGTCTCTCCTATAACTTGCCTATAAATTCCACATGCTAAAATTATAGAAATGCTTTTACTAATACAAAACAGAAAATATGAAAAAACAATTGACAGTTGTTATTTTAAAAGGAAGTGGAAATCCAAAAGAGGAAGACGTGAGGCTTAGCAAAACACTGGACTTAAAAATGATGCAAACAAAGCTAGGAGAGAAGGAAAGTAAACTGGTAAAGAGTTTTACAATACTTGTACACTATAAAATGTAATGGAATGTGTGATGTCCCTATTATGATTTGGAATTTAAGACAAAAACGAAAGCAATGCGTTAGATCCACTCCCCATGACCCTGTTCATAGTAGTCATATAACTTGGTGCTCCCTTTCTGTGCACGCAGGTACTTGAAGATTGCTCCTAAGAAAATGCCACTTCAGTGGTGGACGGGTATCTTTCTGGCAAAATATTGTTTAATTATTTTACCTTATTAACCTGCGAGTGAAAAAGAATGTTTGCCATTTCTAATACAGGGACAGATCTGGGCACTTGGAGTACAGAAATGAGCACAACATAGCAAGCGAGAGTGATGGTTAAATGGACGATGACAACGCAGTGCTTTAGAAGCAGGTGTGAATGCTGTCAAAGATAAACCAAGTTGCACACTATTTAAAGTGGTAAGGATCGATTTTAACTCATCATATATTATTGCAATAGGGAAAAGAGTCCGGTGTGAACTGCACTCAACTTCGATCTGTACAGAGGGGACCAGGTGTTTTAAAGGGAGAATGAAGGAGTAGAGAGAAAGGTAAGTGGGGACTCAGTAAAGTTTTTAAAGGAAGTGAAATATTATTATAAGTAACAGGAAGGGGGACTGGTGCCTGTGAAACTGATCTAGGTTTGTTAACTGGTGCTGATCAAAGTTCGGCTCCTACCCGCCCACAGAGACTGGAAAACAGTGGTTTTGTCTTCAGGTGTTGGCTGGAACAACCATAAATTCTTTTGGCAGTTCTTGAGTTTTCTCATGCAGGTACTTTAAGGGGGGACAGGGTCATCCTAACTGTTAGAAACTGTATTAGTGTTTGTTTGACCTATAAAAGCCAGACTTGAGGCATAGTAGAGAAGAGAGCTCAGAGGGGCCTGCCTGGCATTTGGTCAAGGAGAGAACCTTTGTCCATATCATGGAGAAAGGTGCCTGGCTGGGGTCCCTGAAGATTTCACACATAAAACCTCTGGAGAGAGGCCTAAGAGTTTTCCCAGAAGACACAATGAAGACGTGTGGGGCCAAATGCCACATCCTTTGGCAGGAATGTAGTCAGGACACACAACGTGTAGGACAGCAGGCAAGGTAGTCGGGAGAAAGGTTACATCAGCCTATTGAGTTTGGATTTTATCCCATAGTCTGGTGCTTCCCCAAATGTGGGACTTGTTTCTGGATAACATTTTGGTGATACAAAGATGAAGCATTAGATCATATTAGGTTACATGATTAAAAAAACACACCCATTTTCCTTTCAGTTATTAAGTCCTCTAATTAATTTAAGGAGAAAGTCTTAGGCTAAAGCTAATCTTTATCTTAAATGGTATCTGCTAATCATCCTTTTTAACAAAGAGGGAGCAGATTTTTGTTAAAATAAAATGAGATTACTTTATTTTCATTAATTTTTAAAAAGTTGGTTCTTTTCCTTAGTAACTGATAATCATTTTCCATTTCAATAAGTAATGTGAAGTTTTTTTCCAGATATATTTGTTTAAGTAAAGCATACTGAGTCTATTGAAAAGCAAACATTTAAAAGCAAACCTCCAGGAGGAAGAGTCACGATGACTCCCTTGTTTCTGGGTTTCTCAAAGAGGGCAGTGGTAGTGTCACTACTGAGATAGGAGTTACATGAAAAGAGCCGGAGGAAAGGAAAGGAAAATAAAAATCAAGAGTAAGAAATGTCTTGCCTGTTATTACTGGATTTGCAACAAACATTATTTAAACTAAGATCCCATAACTTTAAGGACATACCCAACACACCCTCACAGCCTCTCTCTGATATGGCCAATAAAAGCATGTCATAAAACAACCTTGTCATTTGCACAACCTGCCTTCTCACAGCCTTGCTTCACCCCCACCCTGCTCAGGTGACTATTGGTTCTGCCAGAAATTAACCCTAGGTTGTGTTTTTGGTTTTCAGTGCAATTTCGTTTTGACCTTGAACGTCAGAGCTTTCTTTGATCTTTATTGTATTGCTTTCACTTCTGAGCACTTTTGCAATGTGCCAGTCAGCCACGATTTTGGATCCTTGTGTCTCAGATCCTGACACCTGTGCTCCTTCAGTAACAAGCAGGCTTATACCTGTGTTCTCTCCCTCAGAGGATGATCCTCCTCCACCCCCCTGCATGGGGGCTTATTAGTGAGACTGGGTAAAACATGGCTTTTTATGTGTTGCACATTAAGATAGCAGAGGTCAGGAAAGTCAAAGTTTCTTTTTCGAATATCAACCCATCATTCTCCTTTTTTTGAAATTATTTAAAACAAATTCTTCTTTTGGAGCAAGGCCTTCGACGTTTGTTTCTTTCATTTGAAGTAGATTTCTTTTCCTTTTGAGCTTCTTTTTGAGGCATGTATCAGAAGCTATTTTCCCTGTCTTCTGAGATGCTGTGCTTTGTCATATTAAAAAATGTATGCTGTGTACTGTGTAGCATATCCTTGAAAATGGTTTTTTCCTGCTTAACGTTCATGGTGAAGTCAGTCTGCCCTTTAATAATTTCAATTGACGCTTTCAAATTGAGTCTTAGAATAGCTAAATCTTTAAGTACAAAATTAGGGTAGTCACATTTTCAATTAATCATACTTTATTTGTAATCAAATATAGTACATACTTCTTTATTTGTATATTTGTATAGTACTTCTTTCTTTGCAGTCAAATATAGTACCTCTTCAACAATTATGAGAATTTCGTTCCATTTTGGAGATATAGTGTTACAATATGTTTAAATAAGTAAAGTTTTAAAATTTCATATAAAACTTGTAGATATAATTAAAGCAAAGAACAGGTGTTCCTTTCTGTTGATAATTTACTTATTTTTCAGTTAAGGGTTTATTTTACTGAAATTTTGACAAAGAAACTAAAAAATTAAAGTCCTGAAAATGGATTAGATTTATAAAAAACACAAGTTCATACTTCCTATATTATATATAAAGAAATATTTTTGTCATGGAATATTTCATATTAGCTTTAACACTTCCATTTTTTAAAAAAGATGAGTCATTTCCTCTGTCTGGTGGATGACTATGAGAGGTAAAAGTCTGGGTACATATGTTAAGGTCACAGAAATTTGTGTGTGTACAGGATCCACATTCAGTTTCAAATTTCATCTTGACTTTAAAATAAAGTAATGATGTTACAATAAATTGATTAAGGGATGACTGACTTAGTAGACAGACATTTGACTGTTTCACCTGTTATTATCTCGAGTAGGAATAAGTGATATCCCCCAAGCCTTGCACTTTGAAACTCTCATCTTTGGGTCTATAATAAACCCAAATTCTCATTAAGCCAAATTCTTCTTACCTAATTTTTGATCAATCTGTGCATGCAAGAACAGGAATTTATGTTGAAGAGTGATGCCATAGCTATAACAAAAGAGATGTTTAGAAACACTTATCTGTGCCAATCTTTAACTCAGCATTTTAGCAGAATAAATGTGGGCTCCACGTAGCTTACTCAATAGCTGTTACTCAGCCTCCTTCAGCCTCAGGATTCCCATTTGTAAATGAGAGATTATAACACTTACTTTATTTCTTGTGAAGACTAAATTAAAAAGCTCATTAAATGTGGTAATAATTGCAAAATGCCTAGGATGTCACCTAGTATATAGTTTGCTTGTTCCCAAGCCTCCCAACTCATTCCCTCATCTTTTCTTTCTTGGAAGACAGAGAAATGTTTTTCTGTTGAGTGTCATTCCCTTCTTAATGGAAGATGACATGTTCACTCTACGAGGATACATGACAGATAAGAATGAATATTGATAGTGACAAAGACCAGATTATGATCTGGGTAAAATACCGACCCCATTAAGCAAATTGTTTTCTGCATTCACATTTAGTACGCACATGATGTGATACAACAATTTTACTTGCTTAGTAGATGGAGAACAGAATTTATTAGGAAAGCTCTTGATAAATTTCTCAGATGAAGCAAGTCTTTGCAGGTATGGTGTTGGTCACCTAGGGGTTCAGAAATCACTGTGTATGTGCCATCTTGATGTGGTTGTTTGCAAACAAGGGAGAAGAAAAGGACAGAATTAAGAGATAAGATGGATGAGAACAGGAACAAAACAGAGAAAGCAGGAGTTGGAAGAAAGCTGTTCTGTGGATAACATTAATTTCCCAGGCCCACTGAAGTTACTAGACTGACAGAATGTTTCTTGTGAGTAGGTTCTTACGGATACCAGAAAAGGGACAGTTTCAGATCTAGATCTATGCCAGGTTAACAAACAACACTGATTTTAAAAAGGAAATAATAGGGACCGAAAAAAGCATATCCTAATAAATTTATAGACCTCACAGGGAGGATTTGGAGCATCAAGCTCAATGTGATTGTTTGAGTGACACTCATGTCTATCTCTGAGAGTGAAGGTCTTACATGACATTTGCATTATACATGGTCACATGACATCATTATGTAGAGTGTTTGGGTTTATATTACCACATATATGACACTCTATGATGTAACATCCTCACTGGAATAATTTAAATATAGAAATGCTCAGCACTTACATTTTTCATAGTAAATATCTTTTCCATAAATTAAATAAATAAAGCAAAGTCCTTTAATAGAGTTCTAACTCTGAGTTACACTATAGGTCAAATTGTATTTTCCTATCAGGACAAGTGGAAAGCTCACCTTGTTCCTCGTCACCAATATTTTAACAACTCTTGTCCTTGGTGTCATCATGAAAAGTCAATTCTATACACTGACATTTCTTGGCTCACAAAAGATTTTTCAAGCTTACATATATATCTGTAAAGACAAGGATATTCAAATGACTAAAAAGCCTGTCAAATGGAAAGAAAAATAGGGGAGCAGGGTGAAAAAAAGCTGTTATGGATGGTGACGTTTGGATAAGAATAAAGAAATGGTTGATGTTCAGTGCCATGGTGGTTATTGATTTGATATGTCATTAAAGATATTTGACTAAATTTTAAAGAAATATGCATTTTTCATATAATACTTAAATCAATCCAAAGAACCCTAGAGGTGTCAGATTCTTACTTTGAATCTTAACAGTTCCACATGGCAAAGGCATACTTTTTAGAAAATGTTATACCTTCTTTCTCACTGCCATGACCCAGCTCAGGTTGGGAATGTCTGGATTTCTTTGACAGCCTACTACTGGTCTCTCAGTTTCTGAGCTTTCTCTCCTCCAGTATATTCTCCACAGCTCTGTGAGTGAGGTCTGTAAAGTTGTGCACTTCATTGCTGTCAGGATTGAGACAAAACTCCTCACAAGGCTTCCAAGGCTCCTTGTTCATCAGTCTCCTTTGTTTGTACTTATGGATATAGTCACATTTTATCACACCTGTGCTATGGATGCTCATGCATCTTTGGGCTTTTATGTGAGCTGTCGTAAACTTTCTTTCCCATCTCCTCATCTGTTTTCCCTTCACTCTTTTTTTTTTCAGTTCCAGTTTCTAAATCCCTTACTTCATTCAGGAAATATCCCTGAGTCCTCAAGAGAGTTAGTAATAGCTGGCCTTTACTGTGCATTATTAGAGGGGCTGGAGATGTTTTCATTGAGGAGGGGACATCTGAGTTG